TAATTTATTTTTTGAAAATGAAATATTTGTGATCAGAAAAAAGAAGAAATTCAAAAAAGATAACTCTATCTTTAATGTAAATAGAATGTTATAAGTTGGATTAGTAGAAAATGTCCAACTAATATGTTTGCTAAGCTGGATAATTTTAAAGTTTGTAGTTAGACAATTAGGATCATTAATAATAGGATTAAAATGTAAAAAGATATTAGTAGGAAACCAAAGATTATTTTGTAGTTGTTAAATTCAGATGCAAGTTGATGTGCCTAATAGGTCAGAATTATTAAGTTATTTAAGAAGGTTAGAAATATAGTGTTGTAATTAGATATTTCAGATGTGTTTGATGTTGTAAATTTGAGAATGTAAAAGGGTACTAGAGGGTATTGTATAACAAAGTTTAGCTTTAAGTTTAATAAGGCTGATATGCTGAATAAAGATTTTATTGCAGATAGGCTAACTAACTACAATGTTTTGAAGATGATATTCAAGAATAGAAATAATAACTGTATTAATAATGTAATGAGCATGTGAGTCAATAATATGTTTGGTTTTAGCAATTTGAATAAGTTAAGAGGATTCAGCAATAAGCAGGTTTGTTTATTTAAATTGCCTATTATCCAAAGTGAATCAGCAATCTAAAAATTTAAAAGGTTGTTTAGGAGAATATAGTAGAAGATGATGATTATTGTAGGAGATAAGGATGTAGTAAGGTAGAGAATTATTGGTAACCAGAATAGATTTTGAAGAGTTAACTTGAATGTTAGCCATAGCATAAAATGATTCAATTATGAATAGTATGTTAAAAAGCTCAATTTGTAATAAAGTATAAAATAAATCTCTTAGACTCTTTTATATATATTTTTACAACTGATTTAATATTACTATAACAAAACTAATACTTATAATTAGAGTTATATTATTTAATTATTATGTTCTTATAGAATTTACTTGAACTTATATATTTATTTTATAATATATCTTCAGTACTTTAATATATTTTTATTTGTTTTTCAAACTTCTAATCCAAATAGTTTATATAGAACTATAACTAATTTATTATTATATTAGGTTAGTCTAATATCTTTTTCTTTTGATTCATTCTAACAGCTTAGTTGATAATATTTTTAAGACTTTTAATTTAAAGATTCTTATTCATCCAAATAATTTAATATTAATATCTGTTTTTTTAAACTAGTCTTTATAATAGTATTATTAAAGATCCATATTACTTTTTTAGTTAAGTTTTTTCAAATAGACTTTTTGAGACCTCTAGGTCAATAGCGCAGTGGTTAGCACTTTGGAGTCACAATTACAAGGTTACCAGTTTGAGTCCAACTGGAAGATAAAAGCTGTACTAAGACCATGATTGGAAATGATCTTTAAAAGAAGCTTTCCACTTTTGAACAGATTACTAAATGATAAATAAGTCATATGACATAACCACAAAGGTCATATGGCATTCAGAAAAGGAAAAATCTGATAAGAAACATCATTAACATAAGGTTTCCTAGCTTAAAATAATATAAAGAAATGAATAATAGAAAAATGATCTGACTGATAGGTCATGTGAAATTAGAGAACTGTGAACTGAATGAAGATAATAGATTCTATATTGCAGAACTAGAAATTCAGGATATCATATGATAGACTTAACAAAGTATAAGCTATTTTATGAGCATAGTGATGAATATAAGGACCATCTTCTGGCTGATAATCTTTGCAAAATGATAACTCAGATCTTTAAAAGATGTGACAGATCCTAAAAGTGTTTAAGAACCTTCAGGATAATGAAGAGAGATAAAATCAAAAAAAAAATAAACTTTTTGTTTTTTAATTTTAATAAATTTACATGATTACAAGAACTTATTTAGAGTTTGTATTGTCTAATATTAGTTTGTATTATTTTATATAACTAGTTATACAAATATTTTATAACCTGCCTCTCATACTAATGTAATTATTATTATAAATATCTTAATCTAATCATTAAAAACAATTATCATAATACAAGTATTATATAGATAATTATTATAGAGTGTGGTGACCTAGTGAAGTGGATAGGTTGTTAACCCCCAAGTAGCAGATCTAAGGTTCAATTTCCACAGATGATGAATTTTGAAAATTATACCTGTGTTATGGTAACTGTCTCTACCGATCAGTTAGGTTTTGGGCATCTGTAATCTTAGGTACACCAAGTCGGGCTCTACCTGACATTAGGAGCTCAGGGCATCTATGCAAAATGTAATGTTACACAGTACATGTACATAGAGAAATGTAAAAACTGGTATCATATAAGGCTTCAGTGCAAACCCATGATAAGACCCTCAGGTATAGAAGGCTAAGAAACTGAAGAGATGGAAACATTTGAAAACTCTGAGTAAAGAGGTAGTACAAACTTTTGATAGTTTTATTGGACTGATGAAAGCCTATGAAACACCTTTATAGGAACTGTCAGATAAACTGGATAACAAAGATGTGTAGAGGAGCATATAACCAACTAGACCACCAGAATCACTGAAAGAAAAGGATACATAAGTATACTATACTAGGCTATCTGGATTGGGAGTCTGAGAAGTCAGTTAGTTCTGAGTTGCGACTAGTAGAAGGTGATGGAGAAGAAGTCAGAAAAATGTGTACCAGGGTTTGAGTGAACTTTATAAGGGTAATAGCGATCTAAGAGGTAACCCTGACTGCAAGTACTAGTCTCGACCATAGTGTCAAACTAGGTTAGTGGTAAAAGGGAATACAACTTGCTCTGGTAGGTTTATCTTAAGAATAAAAATAGTCTAAGGATTATAATTCTATGATTGATAGTGAATAGATCTGGGTCTGTAACCTGGTGAAATTAATACCAGGGTTAGATCAGAGGGTTTAACTAGAACATCTAAGTAGAGGTGTTAAGTATAGCAACTGGTAGAGAACCCTCGGGCAGACTCCTTAAATAAATAATATAGAAAATTATATATGTAACCAGTTGTATACTCATCTAATAGTTCATTATAGATATGTCTATATAAAACATGTACCTGATATAAGTATTAATAAAAAGCTCGAACCAAAGAGGTCACCTTAATACCAAAAAAAAAAAATAAATATAGATAATTATTCAAATTTTTGTTATTAATAAAATTTGAATACCTAACCTACCACTTGGGAGGTTAACAACTTATTCACTTCACTAAGTTACCACGCTTCTACTGCAGTTTTTTGTATTTTTCACGTTTTTCATTTTTATTTATTGTTTTGCTTTGCTAGTGATCATCAAAATTATATAATTTGATTGGGTCTTAGTCACGTGACTTACCTCCGCTTTAGACGACCCCCTAATTTTGATTCAAGTAAACCAAAATTATGTTTATTTGAACTCAATTTGGGTTCAAGTAAACAAAAATCAGGTTAATTTGAACCTAATTTGGTAGTAAATAAATCAAAATAAGGTATACTTAAACCTAATTCAGGTTTAGGTGAACAAAAATCAGGGTTATTTAAACCTAATTCGGTTCAAGTTAATCAAAATGTTTACTTAAATCAAATCCAGATTCAAGTAAACCAAGATCGGTCCAAGTAAAAAAAGATTGGGTTCACTTGTATATAATCTGGGTTCACCTGAAAATAATCTGGGTCCAAGTGAACTAAGGTCAGGTTAACTTGAACCCAATCTGGATCCAAGTGAACCAAGGTCCAGTTCACTTGAACCCAATCTGGGTTTAGGTGAACAAAGGCCAGGTTCACTTGAACCCAATTCGGATTCAAGTAAACCAAAGTTGGGTTTACTTGAACCCAACCCAGGTTCAAGTGAACCAAAGTCGGGTTTACTTGAAACTAATCCGGGTTCAATTAAACAAAGTCGGGTTCAAAAACTAAAAAACTATTAATTTTAATTATTAAAAAACTTAAGACCTAGCCCCCAGAGTATCGCTCGGCCTGAGAGCTAGGTATACATATAATAAGGAGTGGTGTACTGTATGAATAATCGAAAAAATACAGTACGAAATTTTCTAACATACAGTACTAAAATTATCGGATAGCATTATACGGTATATTGTTGATTGGATGTATCCAACTAATAGTGCTAGATAATAATTTCAAATAATTGGGGTTTGTAAGTACAATAGTAAAATTTGATTGGGGTAATTTGAAAGTTAAAAATATATATCTAAATTTGAAATAAGATTTCACATTACCTTTTAGACAACTAATAATAAAAGTTTTTAAAACATTCATATAAATATAGATGCTTTAATTTTTATATGACTAATGCTTTGGGTATACAATTCTATATATCTCTTTATTTTGTAGTTTATATTTTTTTTGAAAATTGATATGGATCTCTGCTGATTTTTGTCTGGATCATATTATACATCATCATACAGTACAAATTAATGCACGCCCATTAAATCCACTAATTATAATCATTTTGATTAATGCATACATATTTTAGATGTGCGAATGATCAAATACCAAATATTCTTAATTTAGTCGTACAGAATATTTATTTACAATTCGTTTATACCCCTTCCGATCTCCATTACGTACTTCCTTCTTTATTATGAGAAATTTATAAAACGTTCTTCGTAAATTATTTTATTTACTCAAAAGTATGATAAGATTCGATTCCCGCAGAAAACATTCATTACGTACATATGTTGTTAATGCTCAAAAAATAATTGGAATAATATACAAGCTGAATGACATCAATATCATTTGAGTAAATACAGAATTACCATAACTATTGCTTACAAAATGTTAATATTAAATTTTCCGATGTGCGTTTATGCACAGATCAAAAAGATAGTCAGGTAATTACAAAACTTTAATTAGTTAACTATTATAGCAAGTAAACCCATCACACGCTCGACAAATAATATGAATATAGTAAGATTTTCCATCTAAATATGTCTAGGTTAAGTGATAATCTTGTGTTTGTGTACTGTTTTTCTATTATATATAAATTAATGCAAACCTGAACGTTACATTATTTCTCCTTGATTATTTTAAAAATAATGGATTCTTTTCAACAATTTCAACAAATAGACGAACTTGTTAAGGAGTATTTGTTAGTAAGTTATTTTTTATTTACCAAATAAGTTTAGAAAAGTCTTTTATAAATATAAATGTTAAAATTTTGATTTATATGGGAAATAGTTCAGAGGATTTTCTACAACTTTTCGATCTTTTGAATCCGAATGCCGGAATGATAAAGACAAAAGATTTCAGGTATAATTATTAATCAGAATCCTTGTTTTATTTGTTAGATATTCTTCTAAAGTTTCTAAAGAGCATTTGTTTTTTTATACATATAGGCAGAAAAAATTATTGAAGAATTATATTCATTTATCACGAATAGTGATGTAAATGCATTAATGGATTACTGGAAATATCTTGATCTAAGATATTTCTCAAGGCTGGATGCTAGATTTTTTGGAAACGTTAAGAAATTTGAAGAGTGCCTCTTAAAATATTACCTTGTTTATGGTAAGTCTTTTCGGTTCATTGTTGTCGTTACTCAGGGTTTGGTTTGACGACCTTGTGACGCGATTATTATTTATCATCCCTCGTTCTTTGAAACGATTAGCAACACAACAAAAACGAAAAGAAAAAGTTTTTGAATTCTTTGATACATTTGGAACAGAGTTAAATGAAAATTCCGAGTGGACAAAATGGTTTGGTAGGAATTCTACAGTTAGTTTCAAAATTGTCACAAAAATATTTTTCCTCATTTACAATATCTCTATTCCTTCAATCCGATGAACTACTATTACATTAATAAGGATTACCATTTTCGAAAGATCCAACAACTGATCCAAATTATGAATTATTTTTTACTAAACAGTGGTTAGAGATGTTCACAACATCTCTACATAATTTTCTTAATACGATATTTCAAAATATGCGTATCCTTTTTTTTCTTATTATCAAAGTTGTTCAGCAACTAATTTATATCTCATAATTCGCGCAGAAATTTAATTTATTGTCTTTGATGTTAGCTAATTTATTTTAAATACTTGGTGGAAAATTGGGTGAATTAGCTTTACCAAGTTTGTTATGTTTCAATATGGATCGTCTTCACCGATACGTGTTAGAAGATGAAGTTCAGTCTCTTCAGAATGAAATAGAGAGTATTAAAAATGTTAAAACAGATACGGAGAGTACAGATACTGAGATTAAGCAAAATGTTTGATCAATTTCTTTTATTATCTATATTATCTATATTTTTTATAATTTGTATCTAATAATATTTTAATTAACAGATCAGCAGATCACAAGAGTCAACAAACTATACAAGGATATTAAACCGTACAAAATCTTTGTTTGATCAAAAAGATAAGGATACGTAAGTTTTGTATACTTTAATTTTTGTTGGATCAGCTATAGCACACCAATTTTCGAGTCATTGGAACTTTCCATCACTTTTATTAGTAAGTATATATATTTTAAATATCTTTTAACATTCGATATAATTAATGAATTAACGCTCAACATGTATATTATTAATTGGTTTACTTTTTCAGATAAAATCATTCTTTTTTAAAGTTTTTCACGTTCACAGTCTACTACACCAAGTAAAGAATTGGTTATTATTTCCGATCATTACGGAGAAAAATCTCCTGAAATATATGCAGATGATATGATCCTGACTCCGATATCGGAATATGCCATAGATAATTCACAAGAATTACCTGGTGAAGATATTAATCCGTTTACCATTATGAATCAGGTTTGTCATAAATATTTTGATAAATCAATTTTTATCAATTACGAAACTCTAATTATGCGTTTAATATTTAAAGGAAATATATTTAGAGCACACATCAGGAATATCACTTGCTAAATTCTCACATAAGGGTAATTTAATCGTGAGTTGTGATGTGGATAATATTGTTAGGTAAAAAAAAATGTTATTTCCTATTATTTAAATTCAGTACAATATAATCAGAATTGGTCAAGTCATAAACTTGCTGGTCATAAATCGAAGGATCTCTGGTCAAATTGGTCAAATACAGAAATAGTCAAGTTCATCGTTTAAATAGTTTAGTTTTACAAATCATTATATATGTTTTAATACTGTGTCAGATGTCGCTTTGGCCAAAGTTAGAGTTAGAGTGGGTTAGAATTAGTTTAGGCTGATTTGTTAACTCTGGTCAAATGATCATTATGCAGCTGGCATCTGACGCAAGTGTTAACCTGAGACACAACATATATATGATAAACTGCACATATATATATATATATATAATATGACAACCTATATATACAATTTGTCCGGGTTGAACTTGTGAACTAGACTAATCAAATTATTTATATTTTCTAATGGGCAAATTGGACATGTATCCAGTTTCAATTAAAAATATGTCTACTTAGTCCAATTGATAACACTAGTCAAATTAGTCTTGTCAAGATTGACCAGTCAGTCTATGCCAGCTCTGATTATAGAGAACAAATTAGAATAATTAATTTTAATGTCGATACAAACAGTGTATGGAGCTATGCCGGTGCATCAGTTAAACACAAGATCGATAACCTTAATTTAAATGTATCATGTCTTGAATGGGAATCTAGATCAGATAAGATTGTATGTTTTTTTTTTTTATTTATATTAAAAAAATATCGTGAGTATTAGATTTTTAGGGGATGTAGGTTCTTAAGAGTATAGGTTGTTATAAGGCTTGAAATGATACATTAATGTTGACATACATCAATCTAATGTGTAAATAATACTTGTTAACAGTTTTTAATGGGCACAGATGAAAGATTGATTAAAATATATAATAAAGAGTCTCGGTCAATTGTTCATGAGTTTCGAATGGATGAACAATTTCCAAGGTATGTAACAGTAATTTATAAATTCTTATTTGTTAATTACATTGTATCATAAATAATATTATCATAATACTATAGGGTAAAACAGATAAATTGTTCACCTGTAGAACCATTATTTGCATGTTCAAGTTCGCCTAAAGGAGTTGATGATGGATTGAATAATGTTAATGGATTATTGATAACATGGAATTTAAAGACCATGATGATACAAGTATGAATATTTATTATGGATATAAAATGTGCAATCTAAATAATAATATATGAGCTTTTTGTATTTAAGCCTGTTTACATAAATTTTAACTTTATAGGACAAATTTACACTTGAGCCATCTATATCAAAAGCTTCAGGGTTGCCTGTAGTTCCTATAGAGACTCTACAATTCAATCACAACGGTCAGATGCTTGTTACTGGTGATAGGGCTGGATGTGTACGTATATTTGGTACGTATTTACTTTATTATATGATATTTTATTCATTACAATAAAAATTTGGGTTCATATCTCATTAAATGTTTGTGTAATTAAAATATTAATGTATATTAATAAATTAATCTATTTTTAAATTATAATTATAGACATTCGATCCTTCAAACCTATAATGGAATGGCGTTTACCGAAAATAATAAGCACTTCCACAAGCAAGAAAGGAAATAGTGCTATTTACTCATCACGATTTAGTTTTGATGAAAATACCGTATATGTTGTTGATGAGACTGGTGGAGTAAGTTTTAAACCTGTATAAAATCACATTTACATAACCATTTTAATCTATCTATAAATAATTAACTTACATAGTTAACGCAATGGTCTGTTCACAAGCCGGGCTCAATAATCTCTCAATCACGTCTTTATGGTTTTCCACCTTCTTCGGTATCAATAAGTCATGCGACATTAACAAAACCGTCGTTACGTAAGAGGACATCTTCAATGTCTTCAATTAGATCTACTAAATCTAACAAGTCTTTTAATGGAAGTTACAATTTAACAACTAATGGAATTGGAGGTGGATCGACAAATGGTGGGACTAATGGTTTTACAAGCAATGGAAATTTGAATAAAATACCTATGGTTTCGTTTAGTAGTGATACAAACCATGTTTTATGTGTTGGTGGAAATGGATTTCAGGGTGTTATTTATCAAGTAAATATCTTTAAATCAATTTGTATTTATTTTACCAAGTTATTTAAGAACATGTGAATTATATGAAAGAATTTCGATTATTATTATTATTAATCATCTATCTAACTGTTTATGATACAATAGACATCATCAGGAAACCAGGTTCAATTACTAGCACCACATAATTCACCCTTAACAGTTGTTGATTGGACAACTATAGTTGGAAATTCCGTATTAACTGGCGCAATGGACGGATCTGTGAGAGTTACCAAGATGGTTACCGATGTTTCTACATAACTATCAAATTACTAAAATATTGTTCGAATCAAAATGAGTGTTAAATTTTATAGGCTCATTGGAATTTTTGGAGTAATGGAGGTTTTTAAAAGTAAGATACTATTTATTTTGATCTATCCCTTTTAAAAGTATATATATAGTCAACTATTGATGTAATGGAGGACCCTTACACCGGATCCACTGGTTTAAAAGACTAAATTTGAAGTACCATATATTTAATAGGAAATTTAAAACGACTATAATGAATTCGATGGCATATTATGTATAAAAGACATTTTTGCCAGTCTAATTAAAAAATCTGACTTAAATTGAGTCTATAATAGAATATTATATTTGTCAAGATATTCTATTATATAGAAATAACGAATATGCTGTGTAAGGAACTTTTAGGCCAATCCAGATTTTCATTATATTGATGGTTGACTGTATTTATGAAAATCACCTAATGAGATGTTTATTGTTTTATTTTATTCATTATTAGTGTCATTTTTTACTACTTACCAAGTGGTTATCATAAACAAAAACCTTAGTAGTACTGATACTATGCATTTCAATATTTATATATTTATATATTTATATATTTAACATTAAGCATCTTTATTTTTGTTTTTTTTTGGGTTAAATTATCATTCATTTTCTTTTTCATTCTATCAAAAATCATTCAAGTCTCTCTAAATTCACTTTCATAAATGCACCTTTATAAAAATATTTCCTAAATGTGTCCTCAAATAATATAACATGTGGTTTAACCTTTTAAATGTAATATCGTTCTCTGAATGCATGTTTAATCTATTTTTTTTGTCCCGTTACATTCCATTTAGAGAGGCTTGACTGTAAATTTAAAATTTTAACATTCATTATTCAGCATACAATAAATTTATCTGTTTTTCATACAAAGTCATCACATCTCAAAAAAAAGTATGAGGCTCGACTATTACCAAGCATTAACTTATAATAAATAACTATTATTCCCAAATGAGGGTGCGTCATTATAATAATTTTTATGTCAATAAGATACTTCAAAAGTGGGGAAACCTTTTTTCAGGGTTTAGCATTGATTTTATTGATAGGTAATTCGGTAACTAAGAAAATTTACCTCCAATATGATTCTGAGTTAATGAATAATTGGATGGTTGAAGTCTTATCTCGCACATGTCAAAAGTAATCCAAGTTTTAGTGGTGCGTAGTTCTATAATAAAGTTTTCGAGATCAGGACGCAATTCATATCCTTTGGTTGTTCATCCGATAAATATTGAGCATACTTCTCAATTGACCATATTCTTTTAAACGGGTTTACAAACTTCAATGATAATAATGCCACCCAACATAAACCAACATTTATCGTTTCTATCGTAATTTTAAACATAATTTTTCTACCAACATTTTCCATCTTTGCAAATTTTTGATAATGAATTAGTTCCCTTCTCAACACAATTCCACGTTGATAAAATGCCCAACGTCCTTTATGTTTATTTATTTATCATAGCGATAACAACTTGCAAGAACGATTTGAACCATAGGACTTGTTCATATAAGTAAAGATTGGTATATTTGGTTGTTATATAACTAGAATTAAACGGCTTTCAATCATTCTTCGATCAAAATTTAATCAAAGTTTTGTTAGAATTAGGTTAGGTGCCTATATTGGGGTAAAATAGGCATTAGCAAAATTATAAGTGGTGAATTGATGTTTGGATAATGATATTAATCAATTTTTTTATAATTAAAATGTTTAGATCTGCACACAATATTAAATGTTATAGAAAGGAATCTTTTTCTTTTATCCTATATTTTTTAATTTTGCAAACATAAAACATTTAACAAAAAGTATTTTTATATTATAATAATGTTAGAATTTTATTTTACTTATTACAAGCATTTAATTCTAAGTAAAAACTTTTTTATCTAAAAATTATGATATATTTAAGTTATACAAGATAATAATAATGATTAAAAAACTTTTATTATACAAACCTTTCTAATGATTATTTGTATCAAATCTTTATAGTTAAAACTTGGTAATAATTAAATAATTTAAACAAACTATCTTGGGTAAGCGAAATAGTATTTAGGAAGAAATTTTTCAGAAGTTTACTGTAATTTTACTATAATTTAGATTGACAAAATTATAACTTAATGATGATTTTACTTTTACATTCTTTTCTTTCTCACATTAGCCTGTTAATTTTTTTTTAATATCTATTTCACAAATAATTGCATCAAACTACTAGAGAGACCAAGATATATCCATATATTTATTATTAGTTATAAATTGTGATTGTTTATAATTGTAAGATGAAGAAGATGTCATAGGAATTGTTGTTAGTGTTAGGTAAGACATTATTTTATTACTTAAATTGTTTAAAATATTTGAAACCTTATAATTGTAAGAATTATAGATGTTGGTAAGTTTCTTACTTCATTACTTTCTGAATTGTTCAAAATATTTGAGATATTCAACATGCTTGCAGGTATGTTGGTGCTCTAAATAACAGAATTGAAGAATCAGGCCAAGTTTTAGTTTGAATCACAATATGTTTGATTTTTATAAAGGTAAAACATTACTATATTTAATACAACAACTATATATAAATATTATACTCTATCTTTCTTGATATGTTCAGTTAATAAAAATGGATTATTTCTAACATCTTTAATTATTTTTTGGTATTAATTTCATTACCTTTGATGGTATATTTTATTTATACTAGTGATTATAAGTAGTGCAACAAAAAAAATTTTACTTGGATTATATTACCTCATACAATTCTGAGCATATCAGCTATTTTTTTTTATTTACTAATAACAACATTTTTATCAATAAAAAATTAAAAAAAATTCAATAAAAAAAATTTTTCATAGGCATGAGTTTTATTTCAAATAATATGTTGTATTATATTTGCTTATTTTTACAACATATAATTGTAAAACAAAAAAATTTTTTTTATTCTATCTAAAAATTCTCTACTTTTACTATCAAATATAGTCACCAGAGTTCTAATTACAGCATGAATTCATGTTGACATTGAATGAATTAGTTTTTTGCAGATTTTAATATCAATTATCTGACAAATTTTCTAAATTTTTTCAAAGATCTGTTTTATTTAAAATTTGTTTAAAAAGATCTCTTAGCTAACAGTCAATTTTATTCTATAGATTTTAGATTAGATTTAGATTAGAGAATTGGAAAGCTAATCTAAAAACTTAATTTTATTCTTATTAAGCCAACATTCTGTTAAGATTGTCATATATCAAGATGTTTCATTTTGCTAAAAGATAACTTTCCTAATATTAAATTCTTGTTTCCTAATTATCTACATTAGGTCTTTACAAAATATCTGTTAATACAAGTTATTGTCTATTATGTTGTCAAACTTGCAATAACTACCAACATTATAAAAGCTAAATTAACCCAAATCATGATGAAACCACTTTTATATTTTACAGTAAGCTTCATATAAAATTTGTTTAATAGTTCTTTATAATGTTTTCAATAGTATTGCTTATTATCTAATCCAAAAATTTGAAATATAAATTCATTGAATCAGATTATTTTAGACCAATTATTGACAGTCTAATTTTTATATTTCTTTGCAAAAGTGAATTGTATTTTTTGATGTTTGTTACTTAGATAGAGATTTTTTTTATTTCTAATATTAAACTATGGTTTTAAAGTATGCAACATATAGTAGACACTGAAATTGTTATATTTTTATTTTTTATAAAATGAGTTTTCACTTTAACAGCAGTAGAACACTGACAAGAAATAATAATATTTATTATTTTTCTTTGAATTAGTTTATCTAATATTATTAAATAACCAACCTTTACTAAATCTTCAAGTAAATGGTTTGTTAATTACTTTTTTTTAATTCATGAGATTGTAAAAAAAAAATATTATAGACCTGACCTACAGCCTTTGTTATATATCCTTTCTGAGATAAAATTAAAACTTGAGCTTATTTAGTAAGAGTTGTTCAGTTTTTTTTTTAATTATCAATAAATCCTAGCATTATACAAAATACAAAATTAACAATGAGATTTATATTTTTAAATATATTTATTTTGTACATATTACACAATTTGGTTCTTATTAAAAACAAACAAAAGTAATGCAACATATATTTTATGATATATGCATAATTATTTTTATCCTTGTATTAATAAAAGCTAATAAAATTCTAAAATTAGAAAAAAGTACTATTTGTGAATAAAATAAAAAAAAACTAACTGATATACTTAGAATTGCATAAGGTAATATGATCTAAGTAAAAATTTTTTTTTAGTACATTATTTATAATTATTAATGTAAATAAAAACATAAGATTAATAGCAGTTGCTAACTTTTGTTGACTGTTTTGGCAAGCTTATTCAAAAATCTTCTGATAATTCTAATAAGTATTTATAAAAAAATTGTTTCACAATTTAGATTAAGATTAGGGTCTTGTCAGTAGGTTGATGTTTGTTTAAAAGGATATAGTAAAATTTAATGAAAAAATTTTTGTTAGTATATAAATGACATTTTTATAGATAAAATTTTAAGCTACAAGTGTTTTTTATTTTGATTTTTTTGTAATTTTTTTGCATTATATAAAATCTTGAAATCTTATTGGCTAATGAATTTTTTTGACTAAATTATTATGTAACAATGCACTATTTAATGTAAGGCTATATTACAATTTTGTAAATTTACAATATAATTTTTTTTTTTTTTTTTTTTTAAGTTAAAGTCCCTATCTTGGGAGTTGTGATGTTTTTATTCAAGTATATTAGGACACGGCATGCCAC